ATAAAATCTAAGTGACATTCCGAGGGACATGATGTTTCTTCTGATAGCATTCAAGCTTTTGGTTGTCACCTTTTATCTTGTTGTACAGATAAAGGTTATTAGAAGTGCCTTTGTGCCCATTTTCTCCCTCCCTTTTTCTGTTATGGTTTGATTAAAAAGGACTATTGAAATTAGAGATCCATTTGATTTTGAAAAAACACTTGATTTTTTATTTTTTCCAGGTATAAAACAATTGTCATAGTTCAGAATAAAGAAGGACTTAAAATTATAAAATTATTTATCAAATATATATTAAATGTAGAGTCAAGCATGAAATTATTTATACCTCTGGCAAATTAAAGTTTTTGTTCAAATGTAAAATTAAAGCTCAGAAATGTATGTATGTATGTATGTATGTATGTATGTGTGTATGTATGTATGTATGTATATATGTATGTATGTATTTATGCGTGTATGTTTGTATGTGATATATATATATATATATATATATATATATATATATATATATATATATATATATATATGGGTGAAGCAGTGGCGCAGTAGGTAGTGCTGTCGCCTCGCAGCAAGAAGGTTGAGTTTCTGTGGGGTGTTTGCATGTTCTCTCTGCGTTCGCTTGGGTTTCTTCCGGGTGCTCCGTTTTCCCCCACAGTCCAAAGACATGCCGCAGGTGAATTGGGTAGGCTGAATTTTCCGTAGTGTATGAGTGTATGAGGGTGACAGGCCCAGACGACAGGCTGGCCGGAATGTGTAAAAAAAAAAAAAAAAATGTCATTATCATATGGACAAGTCTAAATGGAGGACTTGTTGCAAAAGAGCCGACCGCGCAACCATACGGGACTAAGGCCAAAGAAGAAGAAGACGTATGTACATTGTATATATATATATATATATATATATATATATATATATATATATATATATATATATTAGGACTGTCAAAATTAGCGCGTAAACGCACTCGATTAATTTGAAATATTTAGTGAGTTAAAAAATATATAATGCAAAAAAAAAGTTGCTGTTTTTTTTATTTATTGTACACTCTAAAAACTGCTGGGTTGAAAACAACCCAATTTGGGTTGTTTTGGTAACCCAGCGCTGGGTAAAAAAGGGACAAACCCAACGCTGGGTTACTTTAACCCAGCAAGTTGGGTTACAAGTTTAACCCAGCATGCTGGGTTGTGATTTTAACCCAACTATTAGTTAAAAATTACTACACTGCTGGGTTGAATGTAACCCAAAATGGGTCAGAAATTTAATCTAGAAACTGATGATTAAAATCACTAAAATAAAAACAATTCTACAGCAATACATAGTTGTTCAGTAATGGAATTTTATTTATGACAAAAAATAAAATGTGTCCAAATGAATTTGAGATTTTTCCCATCTGCACCTCAGCATTAACCCTTTGACTGCCTGCTCTACCAAATAGTTGACCTCGTTTTTACTGTTTTAAATAATGACTGTTAAAGTCATAAGAAAAAAGATGATTTAGTGTTCAAAATATTTCTTTTAAATATATATATATATATATATATATATATATATATATATATATATATATATATATATATATATATATTTTTTTTTTTTTTTTTTTTTTTTTTTAATTGGTCTTACACATAATTTTTCAGATTTTTCATAATTCTGGTACTTTTACCATAAACATACATATCAATCATTTGGTAGAGGTTGATATTTTAGAAATTATAACATGTGTTAAAATGTACTGATTGTGTTCAATAGCGACATTAGCAGTTGAGAAATGCAATCCAATTTTTTTTCTTGAAAGGGTTGTTAAAGGGTTAAGACGATTTCTGTGAAAATTTATCAAACTGTATCACAGAAACACTGACTAAAGTTCAGTAACAATGCATCAGACTGAAATCAGACAAATTACCTTAAGAAAATGCATATTTGAAATACATTCAAAAACATTTATAAATCAGGAATCATCAGTAAGAGGCAATTGCAATGTTATTGCAGAGTAGAGAAAAACAATAGTATAAGGAAGTAATAATGAAAATGCATCTAAATGACTGAAGTCAGAAAGTAATTTGAGCACAAACATCAACATATTCTCATATAAATCATCAACTGCAATGCAGAAAAAAATATGTGAAAGTAATAATGAAAAGGCATCAAACAGCTTGAAAAAACAAAACAAACAATAAAAACTAAGAAAATACAAATTTTATATTAAGAAAAAATAAGAAAACATTTTATAACTTTCCCTTTAACAATTATGTGCCAACATCAATATATGAGCTATAAAGCAATCATCAGTAAGGATGATCAAGTTCAATGTAAATGCAGTTTTGAAGAAAAAACAGATATAAAAGTTAAAATGAAACCTGAGGATGGAAGCATTTTAAAACAAATTTGAAATAGGAAAACTTTTTTTAACTTTTACTCGAACAATCATGTGCAAACATCAATCCTGAGATATAAAAGAGTCTGTAAGAAACATTAGTTGCAATGTAACTGCAGTGTAGAGTGTCTTAAAAAATATCTAGTCCATTATTATGTGCCGTCATCATAGCAAAGAGAAAAGAAATCAGTTATTAGAAATGAGTTATTAAAACTATTCTTTAGAAATGGGTGTCATGGTGGCACAGTGGGTAGTACGATTGCCTCACAGCAACAAGGTCGGTGGTTTAAGCCTCAGCAGGGTCAGTTGGTGTTTCTGTGTGGAGTTTGCATGTTTTCCCCGTGTTCGTGTGGGTTTTCTCTGGGTGCTCCTTTTCCCCCACAATCCAAAGTACAAGTTAAAGAACACAGAATCCAAGGAAGCAGTGAGGTCACAGTATTAATGATTACTGTTTGTCAGCAAAATTAATGCTAGCAGAACCCTTACTGCTTGTGTCTCCTCCCCAGGATGTCCATAAGCCACAGTCTGCCACACCAGGGAACACTGCTTGGGGTAGTTCACACCAAAGATGTAGAATGCTTTATAGCAAACGTCCACTTTGGCAAGTAATGTACTTTGCAATAATAAATAGCACAGCACGTGAGCAAAGGCTTGAAAGAAGTGGTGGTCTCCAAGGATGAGAACATAAGGAAACTCAATAGATTCTTGAATTCAATGGATGAAGATACTCAGCAATATTGGTCCCAATCTGAAAAAATAAATAGAAGTAAGATTTATTAAAAACTCAAAAGTGTAAAAGTTAAATATCTTTAGAGTTAACTTTAGAACACCTAAAATACCTTTAGAAGCAATTAAGGCCATAACACACCAAGCTATCAGCCAGTGTTGGCATTAGTTAACCACTGACCATGGCACCATGCTGCAATTTTTTGGCCCGAGTGAAGATGACAATGCAACAACAGGTTTGCCTAAGGAACTTTTTTTAATAAGTAATAGTAAGGCAAAATGAGCATTTGAAATTATTAAGTATTTAATTGTGTTTTCTTAATGAGAATAGATAAGACCCTTCTTCCTGAGCTGGGACTGTTTGCAACCGTATTTGTATCATTTGAAGCCGCATTTAAATTTTCTTTAAAAACTTCAAAAATGAGGCACAATCTCAGTTCAAGATGGATAAAATTGCTGAAATATTTTCCTAAAAAAAAAAATCTTTCTGACTGAAGAAAGAATGACATGAACATCTTGGGTGACAAGGGGGTGAGTACATTATGTGTGAATCTTTTTGTTGGAAGTGGACTTCTCCTTAAATGAAAATAATTGGCTTACAGGCCATTTAGAGTTTGTTGCATTCACTATCTATATAAAGCATCTTATCATTAAAAATTTGAAACCATAGCTGTGACCAAATCACAACTTTCACAAAACCGTCATCTTTTTATGTTTTACGCAGCAGATGCCCTTTCAACTGCAACCCATCACACTCTCATTTACACACACACTATGGACAATTCAGCTTACCCAATTCAGCTACACCGCATGTCATTGGACTGTGGAGGGGAAACCCATCCAAGGCTCAAACCAGCGACCATCTTGCTGTGAGGCGACAGCACTACCCACTGCGCCCCCATGCCACCCTAATAACAAACATAAAAATAACATTTTCATTGTTAATAAAATAACTAAGACAATCATTATGCATTAAATGCATCGTTATGCATCGAGAAACCTTTAATTGAATCCTTACCCTCTGAATTGTATTCAAATTGACCTAAAAACGAGGAAAGGTTCGCTCCTGTGCTAAAAATAAAACAAGAGAATGTCACTGGTTGCATGAACAGCAGATTTTAAAAAATAACCAGACAAAAACAAATTTGTATTAGAGTTCAATCTCTCAGTTTAAAGTGTTGAAGTGGCTAATGATTACTAGGGCTGCCCCCTAATAATTGAATAACCATTAGTCAACTAAAAATTTATTATTCATTCATTCATTTTCTTTTTAGCTTTGTCGCTTTATTAATCTGGGGTAACCACAATGGAATGAACCACCAACATATCCAGCATAAGTTTTATGCAGCGAATGCCCTTTCAGCTGCAACCCATCACTGGGAAACAAATACTCATTCACACACATACACCATTGACAATTTAGTCTACTTAATTCACCTTTACCACGTCTTTGGAAACCTGGGCACCTGGAGGAAACCCACGCGAACACGGGGAGAACATGCAAACTCCACACAGAAAGGCCTATTGACCCAGCCAAGGATCGATCAAGTGACCTTGTTGCTATGAGGCGAATGTGCTACCCACTAGTTGCAGAAAAAAAGTCCACACTGGCAAAGTCAATGTATGCTGCATGAATCCGCTGTGTAAAAAATATGCTGGATAAGTTGGCGGTTCATTCCGCTGTGGCGACCCCAGATTAATAAAGGGACTGAGTCAAAAAGAAAACGAATTAATGAATAAATGGTTTATTAATAAATCTGTAATTATTCAACTAATGCTTCAAATGAACATCACAAGTCAACCAGACAAATGTTTAGACAAGGGCAGCCCTAATGATTACAATGAACCAAGTAAAATATTATTACATACCTTCAAATGTGGGGATTAACTCCTCAAGATTGCATTCTTTTAGTTTGATTTTCACGCAATTATCCATCTGAAAAAGAATAACAGATAAAAGCGTTTAAGCAAAATTAAGTAAAAAAAGATCATGTTAGCCAAAAGTCACTATATCACAAAAATACTCCTAAATGATAATAATTATCCAGGGTGTCACATAAAACGGTGGTCAAACTTTTTCTTTTTGCAGTCGAAGATGATTAGGTTGGAATTAGCCTTAGCTCAGACATTTCCGTTAGCATGAAACGACCCTTACATACAGGATTAATTAAAGATAGCTCAAATCACGTCTAGAATGTAAAATGCTCATAGTAAATTAATAACATTTGCTATTCAATGTACAGATATACAGCTAAACAAAATGTACATGCAGAGCAGGACAATTATTGTATATATTTTGATAAAAAAAAAACATTGTTAGAAGCTGAATTCAACACTTATGCATCAAAGTATTGTCACAAAAATCCATGAACAAACTTAAGAAATACAAGAGTAAAAATACTACTTACTGCTTTACAGTTAACACCCCAGAAAGATCACAAATCACAGTAACGTTACTTACTGTCATCACCTAGCCAACATAAAAATCTGTGTCATTCAAAAGGCATTTTATTACAATTAAAAGCTCCTAAATTATCCTAGGTGTTGTGTTTATAAAGTGGTCATCAAACATGCTTCACGTTAGTTTCATTAGTTACCTTATACTTTTCGAGCTCCTTCCGATGCCATGCGCGCTTACCCGTCCACCGATCAACAGGCTGGGCGTGAGGGGAGCACAGGTCAGGCGTTAGGCGGAGCAACAGCTCGGGCGTTAGGCGGAGAAACAGGTCCGGAGAAACAGGTCGCCGTTAGGCGGAGAAACAGGTCCGGAGAAACAGGTCCGGAGAAACAGGTCGCCGTTAGGCGGAGAAACAGGTCCGGAGAAACAGGTGGCTCGTCAGGCGGACTCGGAGCAACAGTTCAGCCATAAGGCGAGCACAGGTCAGCGTGAGGCGGAGCAACAAGTCGGCCATCAGGCGGAGAAACAGAAAAAAAAGCGCGTGTATATTATACTAAGTAAACTAAGTGTGTTATTTCTTATGAAAATTGTTAAATACACACTAAATAACTTACGTCTCACACAGAATTTCACTCGCTTCCCCTCAAAGACAGCGCAAAGAAAATGGCGGTTTCTCACGTTGATGTCCCTACATGTTGACGTGACGTGCGTGCTCTCTTTCACGTCCGCGTTCCCAACCCAGCACTGCTGGGTTATAGATAAAGATCGATTTTCAACCCAAATTGGGTTGAATCAACCCAATTTTGTTACCCAGCAGTCTCAACCCAGCATTTGGGTTAAAAAACCAACCCAGCGTTTTTTAGAGTGTAAAAATTCTCTAGCATAATGTCTAACGTGATGACAAAACAGGTGATTTTGCTCACATTTTAGAAGAGGTGTGAACCTACACTGGTCTCATGGTTTGGTTTGGTTACGATTATCATGCCATTGATTCAGTTCAATTTGATATCTCGGTGCATCGCAGTGCATTGACGATGCTTTCCATACAAAGTTTTTTATTTTCTTCACATCAAACAATTGTTGTATTAAAATGTATAAAGATTTATATACTATTTGTAATACAATTTTGTCCTTTAATACAAACAGCCAGATATTTAAACTGAACCTTTAAAAACTCAAGTACAGGCATAGAACAACATGAGCATTTATAGCAAATAAAAAACAAAAGTGAATATCGCACTCGCTTTCTGAGCCATGTGTAGTGAATTCGTTCTTACACAAAACTCTGCAGACACGTGCTCGTGATCAATGTGTAAGCACAAGAATATTATTGTAAAACATTGTATAGAAAATAAATATATAAAAATATTATAAAAGTATTCAAATATTTTATAGGAGCCGTTGTATTTATTCAATACTTTAATTGAAAGGCTTTTTTGGTGCTGGCAGCTTAAAGATGCCTCATATGTTGAACGAAGTCGCATGAATTGCTCAAGTGTGAGTTTTTCACAGACTTCAACAGAATGTAATAATTTTGACAGTTCTGTGGGTCTCTTCTTTCAAATCCGTTCTTTAGTCTGTATTTTATATTGGATTCCAATCTGGTGTTTGGCTGGGCCATTCTGTGGCTTGATTTACTTTTTCTGAAAGCATTCAAGAGTTTCCTTTGACTGTGTTGTGGATTTCATCCTGTTTTCATCTTCATCATCTTAGTAATGTTGATGTTGAGACCAAAGTAGCTAATAGTAATTTACAATGACGAAGGGCAGAGGGTTGCTGAGTAACTACTGAGAGATTTCAGCTGCTGTCTGGGCTTTCACTGTCTTTCTACATCTCCCTATCCTTATGTGTTCAATGTTTTTCCCTGTGTCATTTCATTTTACTACACATACTTAACTTGTAAACTAATTAATATTATTTTATTTGCATATATGGATTCTTTTGGTTGTTATTAACAACTGGTGAAAATTTTAAGTCAGCGGCACTTTTAGAAATATGTTTTCTGAGAAAACTGGTGATGTAACGAAGACTTATTTCCTCCACTGTATATACTGTATTATTTTTATGCAAAACAGCAATCAAAATTAATTAATAAATCAATAAATTGTAGCATGAAGAATGGTTAACGTGTAGCTGAATTTCCTGAAGCTTACAGTAGTCAAAAATTAGTAGGATGTCTACAGGCCCTTGCCTTGAATTATGTGCATTAGAAACAATAAGATTAAGGTGATTATAAGCCTGTTTTTTGTGATAAAAATTGGCATAAACCTATATTTAATAAGCTGGTTGCACTGTTGCCTCACAGCAGAAATGTCCCTGGTTTGAATCCCGACTGAGCCTGAATCCTGGATATTCTTCCCTGTTCTCTGGGTGCTCCAGCTTTATGACAGCAAATCTATGGCAAATAGAACCGAACACACGGGTGATGGTTATGCTTGCGGTGTTCTGAACTGCAGGAGGATAACAGATCCAGACACGAGGAAACAGGAGACTGTGAGTTCAATTTAAACCCTTGCATGTGCAAGACATCACGCCAACACACACCAAAAAAACAAGTTAGATGTTGTGAAAGATTGCTGTCAACAAATGAAAAGAAGCAAACAAGAACAATAACACTGATTTAGCAAAGTCCTGTCTTGTTTGTTGGCATTCATATCTGTGATGTGAATTGGCGTTTAAAAATGGCTTTATCAACAGACCACCATGTGAAATGTCACTTATTTCAGTTGTTAATGTATAACATGTCTAATTTAAGAAATATTGGCAGCCAATAACATACCTTGTTAATAACTTACAGAATTGTAAAAAAAAAAAAAAAAAAAAAAATCATACTTACAAATTGTAATTGAATTGTAATTAATTAACGTTTACATTTTTCCATGGATAATCTACCATTTTCTAACCATTTATGACAACTATTTGCTTTACATTTAACTTAAAATATTGCCTCTTTATTAATTGAATATCAAAATTAAAATCATTTTATTTAGAAAGTTTAGTGTATAGCATTTTGGGCTCTCATGTCTACATCATTTATCCTCTCATGGTTTAGTTCACCAGTGCACTTTGTTTATTTGTCATAATTGTTTACATCATTAAATGGGAGACCACATGGGAAAGCTGGGTTGCTGTCGGAAGTAGTGTTAGTGAGACCAGTAGGGAGCGCCCAACCTGCGGTCTGTGTGGGTCCTAATGCCCAGTATAGTGATGGGGACTCTATACTCTATACTCTATACTATACTCAATGAGCGCCGTCTTTCGGATGAGACGTTAAACTGAGGTCCTGACTCTCTGTGGTCGTTAAAAATCCCAGATTTAGATTTACAAGTAGTTTTATTGTAAATGGTCAAAGGGCATATTAACTATACACCTTACAGATGTCAGTTTTTTTTTATAATTTTTTTTTTATATATATAGGGTTTTACTGCAATGCATGTTAGTTGTGTTTTTATAAGTTATTTCATCCATTTTTTTTTTGCAAAACAAACAAACAATCAAAAACTGTATTGATCTACTTGTGTCCTGTTGATTATTATTATTATTATTTTTATCCTAATATATTAGATACATTTATTCATTGATTTTGATTGCAGTGGTAGCTGCATAGCATTGTCTCCCATAAAATACACTACCTGACAAAAGTGTTGTCGTTGATCCCAGTTGTAAGAGCAACAAATAACAACTTGATTTCTAGTAGATCATTTTGAAAAGTGGCAGAAGGTAGATTTTTCCAAGGAGCCACCTGTTGAACTGCATCCCAATCATCACAAAAACCTATTGGAACCTGCATGGACCCAAGATTCTTACAGAAATCAGTCAAGTTTGGTGAAGGAAAAGTCATGGTTTGGGCTGTGGTGCCCATTACATTACAAACCACAGGAGAGGGCAAATTCTTCAGCAAGATGGCAAATTCTTCAGCAGGATGGTGTTCCTCCACATCAAAGTTCCTGAAATCAAACAAAGTCAAGGTGCTCTAGGATTGGCCAGCCCAGTCACCAGACTTGAACATTATTGAGCATATAAGATAAATTCAAAGAATCTTGATGAACTCTGGGAGTCCTGCAAGAATGCTTTCTTTGCCATTTTAGAATGACTTTATTAATACGTTATTTGAGTCATTGCAGAGATGTATGCATGCAGTCATCCAAGCTCATGGGAGTCATACACAAATAATTCTTATTTTATTGCACCATGACTTCTATACTGTACATTATTTCTGTTAAGTAACAAGACTTTTGTCTAATCAAAGTCAGACCTTACTGTCCTAATTAAATAATTAAAAAAACACGTCAGAATCATATTTTATTTTGGTAAAATAAGCATAATTTAGAGGCCTTTGCCTTTTATATATGCCACTTCTAATCAACTAAAAGTCGGGTCATTATTTGTTGTTCCTAAAACTTGTAGAAGCGACAAGACTTTTGTCAGGTAGTGTAGTCCAATTTATTAATCTACAAAATTAAATTTAAAGTCATACAATTCCTGTAAGAAAAAAAAGGAAACCGATTGTGTCAGGCTGTTAAAGTATACAGACTTCTCACACACCGAGAAGTCTTACTAATGTTGAACAACGTTTTGTGCTCTTTAAAAGTGTCTCTGTCACATAGCAAAGGTGAGACTTGTCTTTTGAGAGGATGTAGCTGGTAACTAAGCTGCCATATCAGCTAATGGGAATCACTTAGAGCTCAAGCATCTGATATCGTAAAGGTGAGTTGTGTCATGTTGACAAATCTAAAGTAGGATCAGGAATAGCAGTCTGACTTCAGATTATGTTGCAACTCCCACTGCAGAAAAAATAAAAATAAAAAAATCTTTACCGTTTAATTCAGCAGTGAGTAAACTATAGACATTAACAGCAGCTGAGACTGAATGCACCTGGGCCAACTATAATTTTCCCTACTGATGAAAAGCCCGTCGGCCATCACCCTTAGCTAACTGCCGTAAGAGAAGTCTAATTAATGACATGCACAAATAAGATGCTTGACTCATGAATATTTAGTAGATCTAAATATATCAAGCATACTGTCTATGCAAGTTAATGTCAAATAAAGTGAAGTATAGTGCATTCTCTGAGGGAAATCCAACAGGGGGGTGGAATGATGTTTATTAGTTGAAAAGGGACATTTGGATAGAAAACTATCAAATATTGGATAGAAAACTAAACTATATTCTGGATAAAATAATATAAATTTGCATGACTGTGTTATATAAATGTTACTTGAGGAAACGCTTGTTCAAATATGGTTTAGTGAAACTGATTTTTTAAAATGGTCTTCAATATGTACTGGAAGCTTCTTTCATTTAGGAGAATAAACCACTTTCTTCAGAGTACTGTAAAAAATGTCCAGGTGTTTATGAACAGAATTATTTTTAGCTGCGTTTTGTTG